CGCTTCAGCAGCGGCGGGTCTGGCTCTGGGCAACGGCGGAGGGGGTGCCAGACCGAGTTGCCTTCCCAGTCTACTCGGGGTCTTTGCTGCCCCTAGACAAGCACTTTTATTCACTCGTGCCGTCCTCATCAATCCCCCGCAGCCTCTCCCCGCGCCCTCGGAGCGCGCCGCCGCCTTGCCCCTTGGGCTGCGCCTGGACCGCATCAGCAGGAGCCGCCGCGGGAGCGGGAAGCCCGCGGCCTGCGGAGACGCGGCCCGGGAGGCGGTGTGTTGGCCGTAGCTCTGAGCTTTTCAAACCAGGAGCCTGACCCCGAGGCAGGTTTCTACGCAGCCCGTGACGCGCGCGGGCTCCACGCCGGGACCGGGCTCGGTACGGAACTTGTTATGCCTCCCGGGACCTTTCTTTCCATGCAATACCCCGCGTGATGTCTGAGACCTGGCTGGCTTGGGGGCGCTGCTCTTTGCTCTGTTTTTGTTTTGTTCTTAAATGTCAAGCCTGCGTTGTCCCCAACACGGAAGAGTGAGACCCTTTCTGCTCGAGCCCTCGCACTGCCCGCCCTTTTCGTCTCCAGCAGAGACTGTCCTCTCTTCCTGCTCTGTCCCGAAGTGTCACTGTCTGGCCATCTCAGGGACCTGATACTTACAGGGGACGTGAACAGAATCAGAAACTTGCCATTCAAGTTCAGGGTACTATTCATCAGGCAGAGCCATAAAATAAATTCTCCCCAACCCTCCCTGAACTCAGTTTGTATGGGATAGAAATAGGAGAGGCTGACAGTTTTGCCCAAAGGTTGAAACAGAAGTCAGAAATTTAGGCTGTGTAATGCGCATTGGATATTACTCTGTTGTGCTGTGGTCAACTGGTTCGATCTGTGAAATTTTAGATTCAGAAGGAAGCATTTCTTGTAGCAACTCACCTAGAGGCGAGGTGGCTGGCTCTTGGCTTCTCAGCTAGGTAATGGCACAGGGGGACAAGAATCTTGATTTCTTTTTACTTCTATGCAATGCTTTCTGGGAAAGTAAAAGCAAAAATCAATTTCTATTTTAAAAGATGAACTTTAAGTGTGAAATATGGTCTAAAGAACACAATTAAAGAGAAAAGGGTAAGGAATGAGAAGTGTGGTCTAGGGTTGTGAGTGCTAATTCCACATCTGGCTATTTTGAGCACAGTAGTTTCCCTCCCTGTCTGCATAAAAACAAGGTTAACATTCAATTGCTGCAAAGCTGAGCTAAACAACAATTTACAGTGTTATGTGAATGGGGAATTATATGAGTGCTCCATACATTCATTTGGAGCATGAATATTTTGCTCAGTTTTGAACCTGCCCGTCTTACACACGCTTTGTTCCCGTCCTAGAGACCCTACAGATGGGGCTACTTTCTCTCCCTCTCACTCTCCCATCTTCACCACCACCTGTATTCACCTGTCCTCCACCCAGTCTTGGATGTCTATTCTAAGCCTCACTGAGATCTATCTCTTCCCTTTTCTCATAGCACTGTAAAACTATTAAACACAACTGAGCACTTGGTCACATAGAGGCTTTTATGGGTCACTATTGACATCATGTGAATCAATTTCTTTTTCAGAATAAGAACAGAATTATATGTTGTTTTGATACAATCACAATACCTTCTGTTAGTTGAGCTCAAGAAATTATTTTAGAGATTTAATAATTATACTTTATTCAATTATATTTTAGTAACTCTAGCTTTAGGGCACAAGAGTAAAACCAGATAGTTTTAAGGTACACATACACATTCCTCATCTGGAATTTAAAATACAATATCAGTTACCTATTATAAGGCCTACTTACAGGATTTCATTTATTCCTTCACAGCAGCCTTTGAGTTAGGAATTGTTTTTTATGATTTTATATAGTAAAACGAATTCTCAGAAAGTCACTCAAAGTCCCATGGCTAGTTCATTGTGGCACTATGATTTGGAGCCAGATTTGAATCCAAGATTATTTGGTTACACAGACAGTGCTTTGATTAATTCAATTACATAGAATCTAAACATATTTTTTTCTTATTTTGAGAAAGCAATGTTTTAGGCATCAATAATATTTAATTGAGGTTTCATCTTAAATTGAGTAAAAGTGTAAAGGTAACTATATGAAAGTTTTATTATTTCATCCTCATGAATGACCTTAATCAAACCACAAGAAATTGAGTTTCAGTTTCCCCAATTGTGAAATGGAGAGAAAGGATTAAATGATCTCAAACTAAATGACCTTGAAGAGCAGAAAGAGAATAGATCTTAGGCCAGACTTTTTTCTTCCTTTTTACTTTCTCTGCTCATGCCTTGGGCAATACTACTGTAGGTGCAAAGTTTTTTCACCTTATGACTTAAAATCCCTTGTTGATAAACTTTAATTGTAAATTTGCCAGTAGTTAAAGTACTGTGTAGACTTTATTTGTAAGTAGAAGCAAAAAGTTGTATCAAAATTTAATAATCCTTTACTGAAAACTTTTGAGTTTGAACTAATTTTCCATTTAGTATTTATGAAGGTTTTCTTTTTTACTTAATAAATGTGTGCAATCTTTTACAAAGTTGCTTTTAGGATCACACTTTTGAAGTTCCCTAGGAAGTGTATCAAAATCCCAGGTTGGCTAAGATCACCCATCAAAGACAGAAAGGGTGGTGAAGGACAGTGCCCCACTATCCCTTTTAAATGCTTTAACTAGAAGGTCCTGAAGACATGGTTGAATGCACTTCAGAATTCATTCCTCCAAGAGCTTTGCCATGGGGAGCTCGCCCAAAGTAAACCTTTTCCCCTGGTAAGAGAACAAAGAAAAGCCCTTTTAGCCACACACAAAAAAGCTAATACTTTCATGTAATCCCCTTGATATGAATGTACCCTTCGAAATCTACCTTGCATTCTCTAAATCATGAATGTTGAGGGACAAGGTGTGTGAAAAACACAGAAAGAGTTTCTTCAATTGCTTCTCCACACATTCCCCTAGGAACAGATCCAATGATCAAATAGTGGTTGAAGTAAGAGCATAAAGATTTAAAATGACTGCACAAATCAATAGCAAACAGCCTGAGCATTTCTATTTCTTGGATTTTTCTCTTATCTTAAGTGACTGTAGCTCTTTGGGCCTTATGGTTAAGGATACTCCTTTTATTCTT